TTTATACAAGAACAACTTTCATTATGGCAACAATCTTTTCAATGTTGTAAACATTCAACACAAAAGAAAATTTTACAATAGGAAAAATGATACACGGATTTAAAAGAACCCTCTGTAATTCCTTGGAAATTCTGTTTATAGGAGGCATAACAGAAAGCACCATAGTGCTATTAACTGAATTACAATCTATTCTACATATTTTAATTTAGATGCCCAGTTAAGCAGCTAATTATATGAAAAATGTGACTGCTCATTTAAATAGATATTAATTGCCAGGCTCACCTGTTTGGTTCAATGCTTTCACTTAGGTTCACAATGATTTTTATGTTGCTCACCACCAGCATGCGTTCAAGTACATGCCAGTAGAGTTATACATGTCATTAGCATCAGTAAGTAACAGCAATTATAACATGGAGGCTCATTGTTTTACAAATATAGTCCACTCGTATAATGGCTGTGCTGTGTCATGACATGTTTTTGTTTTGATGAGTGGATGAGTTGAGAAAGACTCTCCGTCCACCTGGTTGGTGCTTCTAATTTTTGGGTTTTAACTCTCACATGAGTTTTCACCTACTTGTCTATTGTAGCTATATTCTTTGTGTGCTTTCCCCTATTTCATTGGCACTTGCTGTATGCCATTAGAGAGCAAAAATACAGTTAGGTGTTCTATTCTTAGTGCTGGTCCATTTGCTTTGTTGATTATAATCCTGACTGTCAAAGAAGTGAAATGGTACCACTCTTCAGTATCTGCTTTCACAGTACTAGCTTTCGCATTCTTTGTTTCCTTGACAGGTAGAAACAGTTTCTGTTTCTCTTCATGAATACTGTATGTGTGCCACTGAGCAGCTCATGGTGACAGCTACAACACAGCTAATGTCACCAAAGGACATTTTTTAAATATGTTTCTTTGCCCTTTCTTCAAGTAGAACAGGTTAATAAGAATCAAGGGCTACTCACGTTGTTCTGCAGAGAATGAGGTTTTCATTGTTTGAATAACTTTATGCTCTTGTAAAGTTTGGAAAGATGTCAGAAAGAATGTGGTTTTCATTTTAAAAAATCCATTTTATGGTTAGGTCTTTAAAATATTGTTAAAATAGACCTTTTTTCTTGTGTAAAAAAGTCATGTTTTACACATTAATTTGTACATTTCAGAGACTGAGAAGTGGTGAGAAAAGAAGGGCACCGTAGATACCTGGGCCAAATTGCAGCAAGAAATGGGGAATAAGCATTGGCAAGGGGAGGGAAATCTAAGAAAAGTGGGTTAAAAGTACAATTAATTTTCAAGGGATTAGCAGATGTTCACATTCAGTATCCATTCCTCTGAATGGAACTGGTCAAACCTTATCCAGTGGAACACTTTTCCATTTGAAGATTCTGATCTCACAGAATAGAAATGTTCTTTGTGAATGAGTCAATTTTGTCAAAACTTGTAATAGACACCAAGCACTTCCAAAGCCTCAACTCCTACAACAGCTGACAATTTCCATTTTGGTTCACCAAACATGGAATTTTTTAGAATTTTTCTTCTTGGGGAAAAATTCATTTTTTTGCTATTTCTGCCCAACATGGAATGAAATGTTTATTCAAAAAATCAGGATTTTCTGTGAGAAGGAAATATTTTCAAGCCAGCTCAACTAAGCAGCTTCAAGTCAACACGTTATAGAGAAAGACATGTCATAGAAAGTCAACTAGACTTAAGCTCCTAAGGCCCTAAAACCACTTCTGAAATTGGGATTTAGTTAGCTAGGGCACTTGGGCCTTGCAATGCTGAGTGGAGCAATACCCAAATGCCTTTAAAAACTTGACCTAAACATAACCATTATAGAGATGCCCGTCAATTAATTCATTTCTGTTCCAAGCAGGCAAGAAAGGAAAGGAAAGATCATATTATGAGAATGTGCACAGCTCACTGTGAGTGCTCATGTCCCATTTAAAATGCATCATGTTAGGAAATCAACTAACTCGATATTGATCAACTAGCAACTAGATTTCCCTTAGTACAAACTTGTATTTAAAAACATGCTAGCTGCACATGTATAACCAGGGGATGGGAGTAATAGGGGACTTTTCTGTGACATTTGGTGTCTCAAGTAGTCAGAGCTTGATTTGTGGGTGGAGCTCTGAGGAGTACTACCATATTTTCCCACTTTATGTCAGATGTTTCCAGGTGGTGCTTTTACATCTACTTTCCAAGCTCTCTTTCTTAGTATGTGAGCAAATGCTGTCTTGAGAAAACATGTTATTTGTTGTTCCTTTTAGTTATGAAAGGTTCTGGATAGAGGGAACTGTAGGAGAAACAAAAGAGAATTACTTGGTTCCTGAGGCTATGTCTACACTGCAGAGTTTTTGTGCAAAAATGGCCATTTTTGCACAAACACTCAGGGAGCATCCATACCTCAAGCGCATTTTTGCACAAGAACTTTTACGGTGAATCAACAGAATAGAGGGGGTTTTGCAGTATAGGTATTTCTCTTTCCACGAGGAATAACTCCTTTTTGCGCAAGAGCTCTTGTGCAAAAAGGTGTGTGTGGATGGAAAACAGGGTTTTTGCATAAAAAATGGCCTATCGAAGGAAGCATAGGTGCCCTGGAGAGCATTCTGTTAATTGCAATCAGAACTTTCTTGTGGGAGAGCGTCCATGCAGTCTGGATGCTCTCTTGTGCAAAAGCGCATCGATTTTGCGATGCGCTTTTCTGGTGTGGACGTGTTCTTGTACAATAAGTTTTTGCAGAAGATCTCTATCAGAAAAAGCTTCTTGCACAAGAAGCCTGCAGTCTAGACATAGCCTGAGAGATATAAATTATAAAGGCACAGTTGCTGCCTGTTGGAGGAGCTTTCTAGGGACAAAGAGGGATTTTCAGGATGCTATTTGTAACCATCTCAGTTCCAGAACTTGTGGAGATGTATAATTAAAACACTATCCCGACTCTATGCCACTAATGTCTTCTGCAATGGAAAATAGAGCTGTAAGGCTCAGAAGTTGGCTATTGCTCAGCAAAGGGAAAGCATATCAGACAGACTGGTACTAATTCTGATTTTTGTTATAAAACTAGATTTAATTGCCCTATAACATAGTTTTTAACCTTCACACTCTGAAGGGAAGGACAAACAGGGTTACTTTGCTTTTAGTCCTTTCAAATAGGACTGTACTAATGCCACTTGGGTTTCCCTTTATCCATTTTTTGTAAGGAGAAAGGCTATATTTGTAAGTACGATCTCTCTTTGAACAAGACATAATAACTATTATTTTACAAAACACAGACGGGCTCTTGGCATTCAGCACCTTATTTCTTTAAATTTTCCTGTCACATGAGAAGGATAAATAATGTAATGAGCTTCTTTTTCCCCAGTAGCTTGGTTGACTGTGGGTGAACTTTGTAGAGAGCAGAGAGAAATAGGATTGAAACAAAATGTCCTTTTGTTTCACACGTTGTCGGTTATGGTGAGACAGACACTGCTGTGTGAGGATTGTGACTGCATTAAAGGTTGTTGTATATTTTGTATAATTGTTCTCAATGATCAGTTGTTAGTGTGTTTCTGAGCTCTCCCTGACACAGTTTAGGACAGTAGCAAATCAGTCTCTGGTGTCGAAAAGGTTGAGAAACTCTGTTTTAGACAATGTGGTTCTGTATTCTCCATTCAGTTACTCTGATGCTCCAACATTAAGGCTGAAACGCCTATTAGTGGGCCTTAATACAGCTATGGGTACTTCCACAGAATGCTTAGGACTTATGAGTAAAACCCAGTTGGCCACATGTTTTCTCTAACTTAATTATAGACTTCCAAGGATGGATTTGGCACAATGCATTTAGACAGTTATCAGTGCTTCACAATGACAGGTGTTTCTGTTACTACTTGGCCAGTCAGCTCTGTTACCTCTTCTGGCAGTGGGATGAGAAAATAAGATCGGGGGCATGTAAAGAGAGTGTAAAATTTGAGGGCAGCTGGGGGAAAGTAACTTGAATTTGAATCTTTTTTCCAGTCAGTGAAGGGAGGTGATCTTACAGTCTCAGTCCTCCCCAGCTTTTGGTTCAAATAAACTCCACTGCCAGCTGACCTTGACAGTTGTTGGCAACCAGTAAAATCTTTGTATGGTGTGCTGCAACTACAGTAATAGAACTCATTAGTCAAAAGCCCTGTCACTTTTTATTGAAATGGGATACTTGGCTTCATATCCAAGCTACTTATGAATGAGCACTGCAGCCTATGAGTCTTAAAGATTTTAATTAGTTCTAAGCTAGACAATCGTTATTTTCCCCAAGAACAAAGTCATCATTTTCTTGTGCCGAATGCGTCTTTCTTTTTTTTTCCCTGCAGTATCACGTATGAAAAACTACATAATTAAATATGAAACACTGAGGAACTAGAATTCAAACAATGCATACAGTATTGTTTCATTAGGCATTTCTCAGCATTAATTCTCTGAACTCTAGGAATATTAGGTGTACAGAAATTTTGTGAATTTGGTCAGAAGACTCCTGATGAAATATTTTGGCTACCCTTCTTCACCTGTGAATTATAATTAATCTTTTAAAGACTACACATGCATGCACACACATCTACTCACACATGAGTATACACTCACACAAATATCTATCTCTATGCCACACAAGTTTATGCAAGTAGATTTACACATATTATGGATGAAATCCTGATCTCTTTGAAAGCAATGGCTAAACTTCCAATGAATGCAACTGGGACAGGATTTTCCTCTGCAAGTATGAGCATAATCTTCACATACATAATGTACATCTATACATGTCAGCAACAAGTGGATGTGCATGGGTGTGTATCTGCATCTAATGTAAGCCTGCATGAGACCAGCCACAAAAAAGTTCTGTTATTTTCTCACATCTTATGGAAATAGTATTTTGCATCTCTGCCTGAGACGCTATTTTAAATATTTTTGTCTCTGGTTGTATGTTGGCTTGGTGCAGGAATGTAGTAATTTATTTTCTTTGTACATATTTACTCCTATTTCTTGTATTCCTTTCACACAGCGACTGAAAGATTTAAAACAAAGGGAATTTGCTCGAAATGTGGCTTCAAAGTCATGGAAAGATGAGAAGAAACAGGAAAAAGCACTCAAGCGGCTCCATCAGCTTGCTGAGTTACGGAAGCAGTCTGAATGGCAAGTATTGGAAATTCATATTATGTTTTTACACTATCATTCCTTATTCCCAAAGGAAATCTCTAATTTTTGTTCCTGCTTTCTAGAATGCCCAGAGATCACATAAACTGTAACCCATTTTCAGTTATCACTGGTGCCAAATGTTCCTGTTCTGAAAACCATAAAATTGAAAGTCCTTGAATTAATTACTTGGTGTTTGAAGGTTTTGTGTTTTTCTCCCCTGTAGCCTGTTAATCTAATCTACTCTGAATTGTGTGATTTGAAGATGATTTCACAATATCAGTATTTTACCTTATTAAAATTGACCTGAATAGAGTAGTATAATTTTTAGTAGTTCATAGAGAGTGAAAAGAAGATGCTAAACAGACCGCAATGTCTCTGTGTTCAGTCTGTAAATCCTCTTTCATTACTTTTAGTAGATTTAGCCTATTCAGGTAGTTTCTCCCTGAAGTAAATGACAGTACCATTGTGTGCATGAAAAACAGATGTAATTACCTCAGTTAAATTTACTCAGTACTGCTAATTAAAGTAATGATAATAATACAGATACAGTACAATATTTACACTAATAAACCTTTATGTTTGAGAATTCTTTTTTATTTAATGATTCTTTCATATGTAAAATGCTTCAGCAGAAGTGGTTGTTACTAATGTTATTAATTGATGTTAATCTGTGACCATAATGAGTTAATTAAACTGTCATTTTCTTGTTAAAAACAAACCAAGCTTACAGTACAGTGGAAATAATAAAATTAATAGTCTACCATACAACAATTTCAGGACAATCTAATGTTTTGGGGCAAAAGGTTAAAGTATGTCACTTCAGCATTATGCATTAGGGCTGGCTTAAAAAAAAAAACAATTCTCTTTTACGAAAACCTCCAGGGTTTCAGAATCTGTTTTCTTTCTGATGGAGAACAAAAAGGAGACCTTTGTGAAATTTCTCATGAAGAAACGTGCACACAACCTTACAGTAACCAGTACTCCAGTTGGCAGGGCTCTTGCTTAGGATATAGGAAACGTAGCCTTCAAGTCCCTGCTCTGTAACTGGCTATAGCATCAGTTTCTATCTTTTTCTTTGGAATGAATATTCAATAACTTATATAAAGCAGAGAAGCTCCGACATAGGAGTTTTAGGGTACATCTACACAATGAGCTAGAGCTGTAATTTGCAGTTTGAGGAGACACTCCCCACCCCCATCCCCACCCTCCCATCTAGTTCTGATCAAATTTGAGGAGTGTAGTGCCCATGGCATGAACTCAGGGGTGGGGAGTCTAGTCGACCAGGTACATACTTCATGTCTCAGATGGGACAGAACACTGTGCAAATAGCCCCTCCTACTGTTTAAGCCACTGCTGCTACACTTCGATATTTGATCAAAGCTAACATGCATAGCTCACCTCATGCTGGAAATTATACCTCCTCTCAATGTACAGAGGTGCCATGAGAGAGATTGACTCTATTGCCTGATGATTAGGTAGCCTCCTCAACATGGGCTTTACAGTGGAGTCTGAAACCAAAGCAAATAAATGGACTCCCCACACTCTTCCACTGTTTGCACTTTTAGACACAGGTAGATTTTTCCTATACCGATTTAAAACATTTCCAGCTTCAATCAAACTCTGATTTTATGTCCACAACACTGGCACAGATGTATTATGTGCTGGTTCTCCCACACTGTATTGATTCCAAGAACTGATATTTGTCTAGCAAAACTCATTTTAAAGCATTAATAGGGAGAGCATTAGGACAGCGATCAGCTGTCTGGTCTCAAATGCAAAGTGACATAGTGCAGACATTCTTCTTCCCAGCTGGTCACTTATTAGAAGAAAAGACTTTTAGAGCTCTGTGTCAAAGCCACATTGGAAAATCTTGAGCTGAAAAGAAATAACCAGGAAGGTAAAATCTAGAAAGTTTGGGAAAGGTGGGACGGGAAAGAGGAATACAAAGGAATGAAATACAGGCGGAAGCGACGTGAAAATGTTAGCCATATACTGTTGGTTATTTGGACTAGTCTCACAAAACACATGTATAATTACCATTACATTACTGGACGTCAGTTGCATGCACTAAGGAGAGATCACATGTCCTCTTCCAGTTTCTAGTGGAAACAGTGAGGAGGAAGGGTTATAAAACAGATGAGATCATTTATAAAAAGGAAGTTAATGCAAAATACCAAAGTATTATGGTAGCCTGGATGCTTTTTTAAATACTTAACTTTTCTTTGAATGTTTCACAAAGAATTGCATTATAGAATAAAGTCCCTTATATTACCAAGAAGCTATGTGTAGACTGCAAGCCTCTTTCAAAAAAAGCGACGAGGAGTCCTGTGGCACCTTATAGACTAACTGAAGTGTAGGAGCATAAGCTTTCGTGGGCAAAGACCCACTTCGTCAGATGCATCTGACGCCTGCCTCTGGAAATTTCCACTACATGCATCTGACGAAGTGGGTCTTTGCCCACGAAAGCTTATGCTCCTACACTTCAGTTAGTCTATAAGGTGCCACAGGACTCCTCGTCGCTTTTGCAGATTCAGACTAACACGGCTACCCCTCTGATTCTTTCAAAAAAGAGCATCTAGACTACAACCAGTACTTTCGAAAAAGCAAGCTGCTTTTTTGAAAGAGAGCACCCAGGCAGTCTGGATGCTCTCTTTTTAAAAAGCACTTTTTCCTTACATAGCGCCTTTTTTCGAAAGAGCACTTTCAAAAAAAGGCATTCTTTCTCGTAAAATAAGGTTTTCTGCAGTCAAAAAAACTGCCACGTACTTTCAATTTACTTTCAAAAGAACGCACCAGCAGTCTAGATTCAGGTAAAGATTTTTCTAAAAAAGGCCATTTTTTGGAAAAATCTCTGTGGTCTAGACACACCCTCAGAGAAAAAAAGAAAAGCATAAAAACATCTTAGTTCTGAAAGAATCACATTGAATACTGTACCTGAGAAAAATCCCTCGCACAAGTCTCCTTTAATTGGAGTTTTGTATGTGGCACTTCACAATCAGAACCATAGCCTACATGAAAAGCTGACCCAGGAATTATCATGGGCTAGAGTCTGATCCCAGCTATATTAGTATAATTCATAGTAATTCTACTAAATCCAGTAGAATTTACCCTGTATTTACCTTCGATGCACAAAATGCAGTGATGTGCTCATTTCAAATCATTTCAGTTGCCGAGAATAATGACTTTCTTGCTTTTTCGGAAGTGGCCTAGGCCACAGTGAATAGCCTTTATAGGAGCTAGATAATGGCTTCAATAGCATTAATGACCCCCCTCCCTTTGAGACTGATCATGAGAAATAGTAATAGTTTCTGAATTTTAAATTCAATTAAGTAACTAATCCATTCATTGTATTTATTTATAGCATCACAGGCAGCAGACCAGTATTTAAAGCTCCCAGAATGGTGGTGGGAAAGCAGCGGCAAGAAGGAATTTTCATAAATAAAAATGGCAGAATCACAGCAGGTACTAAGAGCATGCTTCTGCGTGAAGGACAAAACCTCTCCAGATGCACATTAGAGAAACATCAGGAGCTTACACTAAGCAGGAACAAGCCACATTCGGAGAGACTCTGTTCGCTTGGAAATCAAGTCTCACAAGCGTTTTCAGATGGCACCAGTATTAGTCACAGGACAGGAGTGTCTTTCTCTTTCTCTAAAAAAGCCCACTTAAAGTTAGAGTCGTCAGCATCAGTTTTCAGTGAGAACACTGAAGAAGCATATGATTATAGTGAATCACCTCACCCCAAAACAAAACAAACTCCTGAGGGCTGTCCGTCATGCACACTTTTGAGTGAGGATACAAAAGCAAGTGTGGCTAAACAATTAACTGTCCCACAAGGTCAAATGGATATCACTGCATGCAGCAATACAGCAGTAAAAACAAAAACCCTGAAAGAAAATGAGAAAAAAGAATTAGAAGACGTTGTCACTGCTCATCCTTCATTTTGCAAAACTAAAACACAGCTTTCAAATTCGTATTTTACTGATTTGCTTAGAGAAACAGAAGAAGGGGAGTTGAATGAGACTGAAAAATTGTTGGAGACTCTCATCTCACCTCCCAGCCACTCTAGCAATCTTTGTACCCAGCAAAAGCCTTATAGGCACAGTGATACAATGCTAAGTGACCTCTTCACTGAGTTCCCACAACACCCAGCAGAGCAGGGATATGCAAGTGAACCACATTACAATCCAAATGTGGTCAAGACAGAGACATTTTCTGAGAGTTCAGGGACTTTGAATGGAAACACAGAACCACTTATGGGTGAGACATTGGTTAATGAGACGAAGCCCAAAGCATTGCCTTTTCTTCATGTACTGAGCAAAGATGGTACCACGTCCCTTCGGTGGCCCATGGAACTTCTTTTGTTTACAAAAACTGCACCCTGTATTTCTTATGGCTGTAATCCATTATATTTTGATTTTCGACTTTCTCTAAACCATAGAGATCATAAACAGCATGAAACCAACACAGAAAGCTGTGGCAAGGTCCCTACAAATATGAATGCAGATGAAAATGAAGCCTCAGGTTTAACAGAAAACAAACACATGTCAAAGGAACAAGATAATCAGCCACTGAAACCAAAGAAGATGAAAGGCTCCAAAACCCCTGATACGGCCCAGCAAAAAGCTGATTCAGACAGAGAGAAAGAAATGAATGAAAGTGGTCAAAAGTACACTTTGCATGATCTGAATGAAAATATACCCAAAGTGCCTGCTTTCCTTGATGTATCCCAAAAGGATTATGCGAGAGAAAATAGTCCCCATGCCAGAAGGCCTAGGCGATCTTTAAAGCACCATTTGCATAGCTGTGAAAGAAGCGTACACAGAGGTGGAAATGAAAGCATTTCCTTTTTGCCTTGTGTGTCTAGGATTAAAAAGCATAAAACTGCAAAATGTGATTTAAGTTATTCTGAGAAAATACATGAAAACCCAAACAATTGCAAATCCATTCAAAACTGGCCTGGGCGCAGCAGTGATGTAAGTGACAGTGGAAAAGATTCTATTGGAAGTTTCCTTAGTTATAAATCAAGTTCTCATAGCAAGTGTTCAGAAAATGAGGGGGATGGAAGTTATACAAGATACTGGAGATTCTCGTCCTCCCAAAAGTCATCATCTGACAGACATTCTAGCTATTCTGACACTTCCATTAGCAGTACAACTAGTTATGTAAGTAGCTCCTCTAGTCACAGATCAAGTGATCACAGTAGAAGTCATTGGCTCTTTTGTTGTAAAAGAAAAAACAAGACAGTTGAAAGGCACAAATGTAAACACAGAAAGCACAACTTTATTTCCTCTTCTGATGATGTAGATGAGAATTACCTTTTCTACAGTAAAAGTCAAAGAACTAAAAACTGTGCACAGGGTGAAACAATTAAATATGAGAAACATCCAAGATATAAGGGTTTACACTATAGAGACAGTTCAAAACAAAGCAGAAATACACACCTACAGTCTGGCAGAAAACACAGCAGAAGTAGAAGACACTACAGCTCCAACAGTTCCCCCACCAGACTTTCAGGAAGCAGTGGAAGATCATCCAGTTGTGGACGATCAGGAGTCAGTAGTTCAGGATCCTTCTCAAAAGAAACAATGTGTTACTGGAACAAAAGCAAAGAGGATACAGAAAGCTGTTACCGCACCGAACAAGGAAAGACGGAATCTACACATTTTGACGCGCAGAATGTAACTTGCCAGTCAAAAAAATTTCATATTGGCTCTTCTGAAAACTCAGCAGGCAACACAAAGGAACAGAGAACATCATTGACAGCCAGGCTCCTTTTAGAAAGAATGCAATCCAAGAAAAAACAAGAACCAGCCCATGGTTCAGAGGGATTATCAAACAATTGTGAGGTGGAATTGGAGGCCCACTTTGCTAGTACATTTCCATCATCAGTAGGTGACATAGCAATGTTACCTATGCCCGAGAAGGCCCCAGATATAAGTGAAAAAGTTGTAAGGAATGATGAAACCAGTTCATTGGAAAGCAGGGCAAAGATAGACAATTTTGAAGTTTCACAGACAAATAACATTACCCTTACAAAAGGCACTGATTATGATAATTGTCTTTTTAAAGATGTAATTCAAATAGGAATCGGCTATCAGTCTCCTGGCATAAAAAGGAACACAGCAATAAAGGAACAATCCAATCTCTTAATTAGTGAAGTACAACCCTTTATACAAAGCTGTGACCCTGTACCAAATGATTTCCCTGGTGCTTTTCCTTCAAATAGATATTCTGTTGTTAATCCAGCAGAGACCAAAGAAGAACTACATGATGTAAGCATGAACTTGCATCAGGTGGAAGGAAATGTCAACACTTATTGTGACAATGCTATGCATAAGTGTGATGAAACAGAAAATGAGCTAGAAATATACAGAAAATCCATCTCCCCCCCTTTAACTCAACAGCCTATCACATTTTCACCTGACGAAATCGACAAGTATAGGTTACTTCAGCTGCAAGCCCAGCAGCATATGCAGAAACAAATCCTGGCAAAACATCTGAAAGTTTTGCCTGTCCCAGGACCATCTGCTTTCTCTGCAACACCAGCAGTTCATTCTGTTCCCAGCCAGCACCATGCTTCTGTCACCACAATCCACCATACACTTCTGCAACGCTTTGCTTTCTCCACTTCTGTACATCCCCATAGCGGCCAGCTTTCCTTGACCAATGTACACCCACTTTCTGAACCACACTTCACTCCCATATCACTTTCGCCTTTAACTCCAACCATCATTCCTTCCCACCATGCTCTCATGACAGGACGCCCACTGCATTTGGTCACCTCCACACCCATTCACCCTTCCTATCTGACCCTCCCTGCATTGCCACATGCTGCGTTTTTCCCTACCTTATTCACTCCACACCTGAATGCCCTACATCTGAATCCTTTAATTCACCCTTTGTTCCAAGGGCAAGATCTTCACCACCATTCTTGCTCTAGTTAGACCCAGCAGATCATTGGAGTGAAAACGTTTTCAGTGTTTCTAGTTATTTCAGTTAGCAAAACTATTGCTCCTTTGCTGCCGAAAAAAGGTTTTTTTGTTGAAGAAAAACTCTTATTTCATGTTCAGTCACACATGTAAAGGGAAGTCTGTCATGTAAGAGAACATCAGCAATATTTAAAAGTCAATAAAGTTATGGTTAAGAGAGCATGAGTGTTGATTTAGTTTTCACACCACCACGTGAAAGCTAAAACTAAAACTAGAAGGATGGAATACTGCTTACTTTGGCAGAGAGTAATTTACCTTGGAATATTGGCAGAATTCCGGAGCTGTAAGTATCACTGGGACTCCAGTTGGCCTTGAGATGTGGGGAACCGTACCTAATTCCCTGATGTTTTTATTCCCCTGCCAAGCAGAGTTATAGTACAGGAGAACATCTTGCTCAGATTTATACGTACCCCTTCTCAGAAAATGTGTGCTGGAAATTATAACATAGTATTGGTCTCAGTTTGACCAAACATCAGCAGGGTTACCTTGAGCAAATAATTCTCCGTATGCAGTCTTTGGTTAGGGAACCAAAATTTCACTGGAAAGGCCAAATTCTACCTCAGTCCTATGCAATCCTACTGAAGCTACAAGTGATACACTGGTATAATGCAGGCAGAACGTGGCATTAATTGGCAATTGTAGTGGACAATTCCAGCAATGAAATATAAATAGCCTGAAAAAAAACCCAACTGGTAAACAACGAACTTCCTAATGTAATTTCCCAGATGGCCAAAGTACAAGTTAGGGTTGTGATTCAGCAAATCACTGAACTTTGTGCCCAGCCTTCAAATACATGAGTAATTCTAGTGACATTAATGGGCATAGTCATATACCTAGAGTTCACTATGTGCTTCAGTTTGTCATATTGGATGATGATGTGATACTTCAGCACTGAATACATTGTGTGAAACACCTGGCTTTAGTAACTCTGGTTGAGCATCCATCATGAGTAGATTAGAAAATTTTGCATCAGTTCTATAGCTATCACGAGCGATAGCTATAGTTCATTAGCATTTTATAACCTAAAAAGACCAGTTCCCTGCCCCGCCCCAAAGAAAATACGACTTAAAGAGCCAATCCAGCATCTACTAAAATCAATGCAAGCGACTCCATTTTTCAGAGTTAGTTTGTGATTTATGTAGACACCACGCTGAGAAAAGTGGGAGAGCAAGGGAAGAAAGGACAGGCTGAGTGACTGAGTGGTGGAACTCAGCAAAAGTTTTGTTTAATTTTTAAAATTCCATAGTCTTCAGGCAAGGGAGGTAGGTTTATAAAACTTCTTAAAGAACTATAGTTCTGGAGTGACTTGGGGAAGACATGTAAAACAGGTCTAGAAAGTTTTCATGGCATATGGATCATAAGGGAAGGATAGTGGGCAGCAATTAAGAAGGCAAACACTTTACAAGATCTCACCTAGTGACACCTGAGTTACAACATTCATTTACGGCACAATCACTAAACTATGAATTAGTGTGAGATCTCAGATGTCACTTTGGTAACTATTGTCACGTGTTGACATTTTAGGCTCTGACCCAGCAACATACTTAAGTCTGCGATGGTCTGTTTTTATTTAGCAAAGCAGCTATGCAGTTAAACATGTGCTCAGTTTTTTGTTAACCAGGTGGGGCTTAATTATGTGCTTAGGTGTTTGGCTGAATTAGGGCCTTACTGACAATCACAGTGCTCCATGATGCTCCTGATGTTTTATGCTTAGAGTAAATTGAAAATCAAGCAAACAAATTTAAATTAAACCAACTGCAGGTGGTTTAAAAGATGTCCATTGCAACAGGAACCTAGGCCAGGTCTACACCAGATCTGAAAGGTTGGCTTAAGATACACAACTCCAGCTACGTAAAATGCACAGCTGGAGTCGGCTTAACTTAAGCTGAGCTTGGCAGAGTCCCCAGAGCAGGAGGCTGACATTTGCTCCTGTCAGTTTCCCCTAGTCCTGGCAACTGCAAGGAGTACAGGTGCTGGCTGGAGCTGCCCTCAGCATTCAATTTACGAGTCTTAACTAGACCAGCTAAATCAAACACCAGAAGGTCAACCTCCTGCATGGCTAGACAGGGTATAAAACACTGCACCATCAATGATAATCTGTGGCATATAAGGGGTTTAGACACGAATTAAACTTTTAAAGAAGACGCAGAAGTTAACATGTGTAAGAACCCCCTGCCTCCGTGTGTATGTATAAACACATATTAGCAGGCTCTTAATAATAATCTTTAATTCTCAGTATATATTCCAACTCTATTCAAACTCTGTTTGCCAATTAAAAAGAAGGGGAACTAGACTGTGGTTTCTTGGGGAATGCATTACTTTTCAAGCCATTTACAATGACTTGGGCTAAATTTTGTAAAATATGTCCTGAGGAAAGCAGATGTGACACTTGAGATGGGGGAGGAAGAGAATTTGATAAGTCCTATGCAGCGGTCCCTATAAGCTGAATGCTTGTGCTGATGCTCAGGAGAGAGTCAAATGGCACCCAACTGATTAACAGAGTGCCCACAGCTAAACTGTTTGGTAGTGCACATCTGCACATGCCTTGGTGCACACAAAAATTATTCTTCACATAGAGGGGGAAAACCTACACATGAATGGAAAAGATTAGAGGAAACATTGTGCAGCCTAGAGGCATTGAGTCCACTGACAAGGGAAAGTGAAGTCTGCTATACAGCATTAGCTAAGAGCTTTTAGCTCATGCAGCAGAGGCACATGGATTTAGTCCCTAAGGTTGCAGGTTCAATCCCTCCTGCTGGTGACCACAGGTGTCAGCTATACAATTGATCCTGTGCCCCCGAAATTTGCTGCTTGGCTTGTTCTAATCATGCTCAGTAGAAGTTGGATGTCTTCACTCTGCTTCCTGTTACTATTAATAGGCACAGATCTGCAAATGTGTAATTACTACAGTTGCATACATCTATTGAGCAAAAGTATCTGCAAAGTGACAGATGCCTAAATACACAAATGGGCATGCAACTGCAGTAATTGTTTGTATAAAGGTATATGTGCAAATTCGCATACATTTTCACATGAATCTCAAGGTCTTCAAAGACAAATCTTTATCTTTGCACAGTCAAGTACTCCAACTTACTTCAGTGGGACAGTTCATGACTGTAAAGGTAAGCATACGTTCATTAGGCATTTCAGGATCTGGTTTTTCATATTTTAAAGGCAAGAATAGTATTTAAAAAATTATGATAGCAAAAATATCAACCAATCCAAAAAACCAGGCCGTCCATATGGTTTCACATTGCTTACAAAAATCTAAAAAAATTGTTACACATATGATCTGTTTACACAAAGTGAATAATTGAGAATAGACTCAAATTAAGAAAAAGTCATTGTTTCAGATAAACATGGAAGACCTTCTGAAACAAATATCCTCCATCCCCCAAAAAAGCCCCCAAACAACAACAACCATAACAACAACAAAACCTACCATGTCGAACTGTGAAAAGCAGAAGTAAAGCTATTGATGGAAAAAACAGAGGTAAAAAGGTACAGAAACAGAATGAAAGCAAAATAGTTCCTATCAATTATATTTAAAGGGAGGCTAACACTGATTCCTTGGTGCATTTAGGTGGATTTTCTTGAAAATGTTTCTTGCATTGTAGTTTGATATGACTGATCTCCCTATTTGTTCCCATACTTTGGTTTTCAGTGTGTTATTTTTAAAAACATATATACTCTGTTAATACCAGCATTCTTGGGTCTCATGCGTGCAGCCAAGTTAGAGTTCCAATTTTATTCAGAACAATTTTTAAAGAGAATTACAGTATATAAGTGGTTTTGGGATGACATCTTATGAGAAATTGTGCTATTCACTTTCCAAATCAATTAATATTTTCATGTAATTATATATTTTTGGCCCTTAGCCAGAGGGATATATGTGTCATCCATACTGCACAGTGAATATCAATTCCAATAACAAAACTAAATCCCTAATCCACAATAATGAAACATCTATTTTCTGAAACTGAGGCATTTCTGTAAAATACCTAACAAATTCATTTGTTATACAGTTTTGCATAAACATGCCATTTGACCTGATTGATTTTAAAAGTGTTTAGTTTATATTAAAACTGAATAATACTTTGGCTAGTATAATATGTAAACTAGTAACTTTGTTTTGTATTCTCTGTATAAAGTGTTTTATATTATACAGTAGCTAAGTGAATTGCACTATTGTACATGCAATGCAGCTTTTCTTTTCTTTTCTTTTCTTTTCTTTGTTTCATCAAGGAATTCCTGGGAATGTAGTTTAATGCAATAATATTTTTTTCAATAAAAAGGCTTAATGGTATAAAGAGTGTCAGTCATGTATTTTTAATGTAAAGCATAAGGCAGCAACAAAGTAAAATACAGAATTATGTGACCATATTCTGTATTTTAATCTGCAGAACTGGAATATGTTTAATTTATCCCTGTAGCTATGATGCTGAAATTTCTTTAAAATGTTTTTTAAAGATTTTAGTATGTGTTACAAAAGTGGGTTGTTTAAATGGATCTGAAAATAAATATTCCTTAAAAATGATTTTATTGATGTGATTTTTGCAAACACTTTTAAGGGAATTCCTCTGGGAATCTGTTTGCACATTAAATTAATTAAGGCTTTAGGGGTGGGATTTAGAGTTATTTTGGTAAACCATTTGTCAGATTTTTCCAACACCTTTGCGCTTTGGCCATGTCATCCATAATGCATGCAAAAAGCTCCCTGTACAAATCTACAAAGCTACTACATTATTCTCCTTCAACTCTCCCCAAAACTCACCTTTTCCTAGATGTGTAGAGTGGTTAGGCCTGCTATTATCCTGTGACTGGTGCTGATCACAGCAATTACAAGGGTCTTATTTTTGCTTTGTGCTTCATAAAATTGTTTATTGCATTCACTTGTTGTGTCTCATCTTATGCTTCATGCACAGCCCCTCTTAGGTTACTTGTTTGTACAGTGCCTAGGACAATGGGATTGGAGCCTCTTAGCATCATCACAATACAAGTAACAAAATAACTCTCTGTATTCTGTTTTCGCACATCATCATTTCCCAAGCTGTGCATAAAGGCTGGATTTTCGTAGATCTATAGCACAGTCAAAAAAAATAGAGAAAAATGTACTGGTCAACAGGGTTGAATGCAATGTGTTGAATTTGGCCCTCAGTGCCTATGTACCCTATGAGATCTGCTTACATATTTAGGAAGAACAGGCTCGCATGAATTTCTTATGTCACTCCTTTGGCTAAATTATCTCGTAGGGGAAATATTTAGTTCAATATTTAGTTCAATGTGCAACAAAACCCCTGATGTAAGTGGAACTTACATCAGAGCATGAACATTTTCCTCCAAATGTAAGGCTTTCTTTGTGACCATTGAAATCTGAAACAAAACAAAAAAAGAAAAAATCCAAAAATGTTGACCTGTTCTGTTAAAAATATGTAGCCCCGTCAATATAATAATTGGCTTGAAATAGAAAATATGATTCATTAGTATTTATATTATTTATATTACAAAAGAGGCTTTCAAATGAGATCAAGACCCATTGATTAGGTGCTGTCTGAGTACAGCATCTAACACATGCCTGGAAATGGAGTCATCCATTGCTTCTTACTCTTGGAAGAACTTACAGGTGTTCACCAGTGGAACTTACATATGCTCATTCAAATTAGCAAAAAATAACACCTCTTACAGCAATTCTTCAGAAAGCTGCCATGGTTTATTTCAGAGAACCAACACATTAAACATATGTAATAAACACATCCCATCCATTTGTCAGTCCTAAATCCCAGACCTGATTCAATTTTCACTCCTAGCTCAAGTTTAACTTAGATCCAAATATTCTTCTCGGTTTATCTAAGCGTTATTTAGAAACAATTCTGCTTCTGTTCCTACCAGCTCTTTTGTTTACGGCTAGGACAGTGAGTTTACAATGAAATATGTTTTTTATAAGAAAAAAGGAAGCCATACAGATGTGTAATGTTGATAAAATCTCCAGAACTGTGACTTTCACCAGCAATTCAGTCCCCTTTTCTGCCTCTCCCTGTTTTCACTCTATTTTCTTTCCTCTGCAAGCATCTTTTCTAGCCACTGAAGGAAGGGACAGGATACCAGCCTACCTTATTGAACTTAGGGTAGATAAATAAGCACTTGCAAAGCCTTTTCGTGGTAACTAGAAATTATTTCACTAGTCACTAGAGTTATTGCTGGTGCTTCTCAATGGGTTTTTATAGTTTGAAAGGAGACACCAAACTGCTCTCCAGGGTCCTGATTCTCTAAAGAATCCTCACTCAACAAAGCACATAGGCACATTGTGAAGGAGCAGGGTCCCGCTCCCTCCCCTCTCACAGCCACACTTGGCCTCGCAGCCTCCTAGCCGTCCGCTTATAGCATTTTGTTTTAAGGTTCTCTGCCCTGGCTGGGAGTCTATCGATGTCACAATTAGTAGCAGTGCCTTGGGCCTTGCACCCGACTGTGGCAGACGGGGTAGGAGGACCCAGACCCGCCCTCTCTCATGGGTCCCAATCCAGGGCCCTATGGACATGCTCCATTAAGGTCCTGTCCAGCTGGTGGGGCCTCCTGCCATAACACACAAGCCTGCGGTCTAATAGAAAGGAAGCCCCACCCCTGGGCTACTTCCTACCCCAGTGTAGCTGGGGAGGGGTCGTTATCCCCTCTCAGCTGTCTCTTTCGACCAGGCAGCCAACGCACTGCCAGTGCCCATCTTCCTCCCTCTTGTTCTCCCTCTCTCGCTCCTTCTCCCTAGCTCCAAGCGCTTCTTCCCTTTGCTCACCCCTTCCCCATCTTGCTGTCTCCTTTTACATCCCCTCCCTGCAGTGCATGCCCTGCATGCCCCCCAATGCCCTGCCTCCCTTCCCTTACATCACTCT